AGAGGGTCTCAATGGGGTTAACCGTCAACTGTCAAAAACGCAATATTTTTTACCGTCAACCGTCAAATATGCGAGCCAATGTTAGCCATCAAATTTCTCGGATATCCTTAATATTGCCATAGTTGAGGTCAAGTTCTGTTGTTTATAAATAAAAGTTTTGATATCATGATCACAAAAATACATTTGTGTAAGTCCTTTAACATCTAGTCGCGAGTAAAACTGGTTAGCGACAGTACTGATTTCCGGTGTGGAAACACTTCCGGTGTCGTAAAAAGTTAGTCCTCTAGTAATAAGAGGTGTTATAAGTAAACAGTTCTTTACAAACGCGTCATTATGAAAAATTACAGCCAAATTCGCGCGTTTAGTTCGTTCTATAAACGACATTCCAAAATATCAACCGTCAACCGTCAAATGACTCAAAATTTAACTGTCAACCGTCAAAATGGCTTATATTTAACCGTCAACCGTCAACGTGACCCCCCTCCTCCCCAACCCCCCTCTTCCCTCCCTATTGAGACCCTCTTATGACCTCATCCTCAATGTGTGATTCAGGGGTGATACTTTAAGGAGAAATTAGATGCTAGTCAATCTGAGGGGTTAAAGGATTAACAGGACCACCACTGCGTTATGAAAATTAGTCTTAGTTCAGCCAATTTTTAACTCGTGAATTGCGCGCATGCGCAAGAGTGAGTTGTAGGTATGGTGTGATGAATGGCGCTCGTTCGCTCGCTCGGTTGGTCAATTCCTGTAAACTTTTTCAATTCTAGGCTTTTGAATGCATTTGATAGTTTTTGGCGAGTGATAAACAAACGAAATGGCGACCTTTGTTGCTAAGAATAGTGTTGGGGTGAAAAAGAAGCCAATGATAATCTTGAAAGAGTAAAAAAAGTATACGTTTTTCATTTGTGAATTAAAATTTGCCCAATCTCAGAATACACTTTTATCTCTTGCAGCGTATATTTCATTATGGCGTCAATACTTCTATTTTTGAATGTATGTATCCAGGAAAATGATTATTGTGTCTGAAAAAGAAAACAAAGAAAGGAAGTTAAGCAAAACGCAAAATTGACTCGAGCGCGGCGGATTTGAACCACCAAAGTCTCTTCTCGGAAAGCATTGCTTTTTACCTAAAGGCCACTCAGGCGCCACATCAAATTTAGTTGAAACTTTATATAAATATTAATTTTACATTTAAAGCGCTGAT